CCTTCCTGAGAAGCCAGTGGGCTCTGAGGGGGGCCCTGCTTCCCGGCCTGTCGTGTGGGGTGGCCCCTATATCACATGAAGCCCTCAAAGCCACACTTTGGGTGATTCTAGAACTTTCTCCACTTTACAGATGGGGAAACTGAGGCCAGGGGGCTCAGGAGTGGGCCAAGTCTGCTGGCCTGGGCGTGGTCAGCCATCCTGCTCCCACTGGCGCCCCCAGCACCTAAGCTTAGAGCAAATGTCAACACTGGGTGGCAAGCTGGCTCGCTGTGGGGTGGTATAAACCAGGATGGCCACGCATCAAAGGGCTGGGCTTGGGCTGTGGCTCCCAGATCCCAGAATACCGCCTGACCTTGGTGATCCTCAAGTGACCCCTGTGTGAGCAGCCTGGCCTGGCAGCTGGATGCCCTCCCAGGACAGTGCCCCCCAGGGGAGTACCAGGGGCTGCCCGACGAGGCCCCCATTCTGACTGCCCACGACTCCAGGTCCTTCCTCCAATTTTTGGCCGTGGGGCTCATAGTGCTGGGAGCTGACCTCACAGTGGGAGCCCTGCTGCCGGCCTCTCATGGGGTCCCAAAAGCACAGGGATCTGGGTGGGGCCAGCTTAGGCACCAGCCTGCATGGCCTTGAGCAAGTCACTTCCCCCTCGGATTAGGAAGGTGCCTGTGTTAGGCTGCAATGACCTATCCACTTGCTCACAGGCCCCAGGGCAGGAAAGGCCAGGCTGCCACCTGCTGCCTGGGCCTCTGTGTGCCCCTCTGGACCACCAGAAGCAGGTGGGCAAATTCCCTGGTAGGGTCCTGAGGAAACAGGGACCAGCTGGGAGGCTTCAGTGGGAGAGATGTCCTTCACCGTCCCCCCCGCTACCAGTATGTGCCAGGCCATGGACAGCCAGCGGGATGGTCCCTGCCCCTGCCGAACAAGGGGTGCCCTGTGAACCGGGCAGCAGGCTGGGGCAGGGGAGGGCGTCCTCGTGGCGCCACAACCAGGAAGGGACTCTGGTTGGAATTACGGCGCTCCTGGAAGGGACAGGAGAACCAGGAGGCCCAACATAGCCATTTCCTAGAGGTTGAGGCCTGGAGGCAGAGGCAGGGCTATGGACATGGGTGGGACAGAGTGCAGTGTTCCCTGTGAGGCCATGGCCAAAAGGACAAGCTGCCCGACAAGTGGGCACCAAGAGAGGGTGCACCTCGCCAGGTCAACCGACCCCCACAGCCGTCTTGCCCGGGGGGCTGATGTCCACCTCACTTTGCTGCCCACTGTGGCCTCTGAGGGGATTCGGGGAGGCTGAGGGATTCCAGTAACCGAATCCCCAGAGACCGTGAGGTCCACCCTCTGGAGTGAAAGTGAGGAAACGAAGGTGAGGGGAGACGGGGGCTCGAGTGGCCAAGCAGAGCAGGGACAGGACCCACCCTCACGTCTCCCTGCAAACCACCCGTGAGCTGGCGCTTGAGGGGCAAGGGACTGGCTTCGTTCCACCCTCTCCTGAGTGACCCCAGACATTCCGCCGAGCTGTGCTGAGTCACCGGGAAGAGGAGGACTGCGGTCGGCACAGGAAGGTTGGGCAAGGCCTCGCCCTCCCGGTGGCTACGGGGATGCTTAGAGCTTGGCACGCAGCCCAGCCCACTCTCTCGGCCCCCTCCGTGGCTCCCGGGCCTGGTTCCTTGCCAGGGCCTGGCTGCATCCTCCAGCTGGCCATTCTGGCCTGGGGAAGGCCAAGGGCAGGGTCGGGCTGAGACTTCCATCCTCCACCTCAGGAGAACTTTCCCGGGCCTCCGCGTGCCAGGCTGGGTCATGACCTCTGTCCCCTGGGGCTGAGATGCTCCAAGTTGAGATTAGGGGGATTAGTGGGAAGCTGTAAATCCGGGTATCACTTGGGAGGGGGCAGCCCAGGTGAGCCGAGTTTGCCCTAGAGAGCAAAAGCAAGTAATGAGGTGGGCCCACACCCAGCTCTCCCCCCAGAAGGTACGCAGATCCCCGGTAAGGTCGGGAGAGGCAGCCAAAGCAAGGTCAGGTGCAGAGTGCGTGGCTAGGGCTAAGTTACCTGGGCCACCAGGCAGCCCACCTGAGCAGGTGAGACCTGAATGGTAGCCAAGGAAGAGAGACAGAGGCCCGGGCCAGGGGTGCTTTGGGAGTCTGCCTCTGGCCGCGTGTGAGGAATGGGCTGCAGGGGTGGAGAGGAGGCTGGACGGTGTGTGAAGCTGCCCTTTCCCGAATGTCCTCACTCACCTGCATTCCTGGAGTTCCTACTCTGTTCCAGGCACCAGGGTGGGCAAAGGCTCTCCCAGCCTTGGGGGTCCACGGCCTAGGGCATGAGGAATTGCAGGACTTGCCCAGGCCTGGATGTGGGAGTGAGGGAAAGAGAGGACCCCGGAGGAAGGCCCCCGGTGCAGGGGGTGGCAGCAGGGAGTTCCAACTGGCGCAGGGAATTGAGGGTCCTCAGGGAGTCTGGGCTGCAGGGGTGCCTTGGGGTCACCAACACAAGGATTGTCTTGAGGGCCCTGAGAGGGGAGAGGCTACCCCCCAACTCCAGATGGACAGAGAGAGAAGAGGGGGCCTGGAGGCTTGTGGTCTGAGAAACGGCCACTGCGCTTGGGGGCTGGGGACCTGGACAGGGAGTGTGGGACAGTGAGCGTTTGCCAGATGCCCCCTGGGAAAGGTACCCAACTGAGCGGAAGTCTGTGCGGTGTTGGGCTCAGCCAGCCTCCTCAGCTGCCCTGACCTGTGAAGGGGCACCTCGCCTCACCTGGAGAGCAGGCGAGGTTGCAGGTATAGCCCGGCCGCCCTCAGGCTGTGCACAGGCCGCGGGAGCAGCCACTGCCAGTAGAGGCTGTGTGATCGCCAGCTCTGTTCCAGGCCCCCGTCTGAGGAGGCTGTGCCAGGCCCGACAGCAGGGAGCCTCCCACCGCCGGCCCCCAGTGGTCTTCTGGCCACCAGTCCTTCCCTGGCTGGCCACTCCACTGCTCTCAGCGGCACCTCACTCAGGCCACAGGTGGGGGCAAACAGCGACAGGCAAGGCAGAGGGGGGCACAGGGAGGTAGCGTCCCACAGCAGCAGCCCCCAAGCCTGTGGGACCCAGAGGGAGAACAGGGCTGCAGGCAGCAGACAGAGGAGCCGTATGTTGGGTGCCTGGACTGTGTGGCCTCCAGGACGAGGGGAGGGAGGAATGGGTAGTAGGGACCACAGGGAGCAAGGCTGGAAGGGCTGCCTATGGGGCCTGGGGGCACAGGTGTGGGAGGACCCAGGGAGAGGAGTGGGTGTGGACACAAAGAGCAAAGAGGGAGTTGGGGGGCTCTAGCCAGTGGAAAGCACGAAGTGACAATTCCAACCCTGACCCAATCCCACCCCCAGGACCTAGATTGGCTCCAAGGAGGGGGAGAGGGAGACCTGACCCTCCTCCTACCCCCAGCCCACAGCTCAGGATGGGGCAGAGATGGCAGATCCCCAAGTGGCCACCTGTGGGACCAAGGGCAGGTGGAATGAAGCAAATGGGAGGAGAAGTTGGGGGGACTGGATCCAAAGGGCCTGGGGCAGCAGGTCGGGGCAGGGAAAGTCCAAACCTTAGGGGCCATGCCCTATCCAGCCTCCAGGCTGAAAGGTTGAGCTGAGAGGGGAGGGCTGTGTCCCCACCTGCCTAGCCTGATCCCAGGGAGAGATGGGTCTCTCTGAAGGCCTGACCCGACCTGGCCTGGCTTCCCCAGGCCAGGTCAGCCCCGCAGAGCCAGTGGCCTTTGCTGCAGCCAAGGCTCCAGACACCTCACGCCCTTTATGTCAGAGTGGGCTGCTCCTCCCCCAGCACCCAGGTGAGCCTGCCTCCTACTCCATGCCCATCACTAAGGCCTCTGGCTTGAGGCTGGTGATCTGCCCACTGACGTGCGAGTGCTGGAGGGGACAAGGGTCTAGGGCAGGGCTTTGCTGCCCCAGGAGTAGGAAGGAGAGACCAGGGCAGCATCTAGACCCAAAAGGTGGCCCATGCCGAGCAATGCCTACTTCAATTTAAACACAGGAGCAGGCTTATATTTTACCTAGTTTTGTAATTATGAAAGTAATAGATCAGCAAGTGGTGCTGGGACAACTGGATCTTCACGTGCAGAAGAATGAAGTCTGATCCCCGCCTCACACCATACACAAAAATCCACTCAAAACTCAGCAGCCGGGCTTCCCTGGTGGCGCAGTGGTTGAGAGTCTGCCTGCCGATGCAGGGGACGCAGGTTCGTGCCCCGGTCCGGGAAGATCCCACATGCCGTGGAGCGGCTGGGCCCGTGAGCCATGGCTGCTGAGCCTGCGCGTCCAGAGCCTGTGCTCTGCAATGGGAGAGGCCACAATAGTGAGAGGCCCGCGTACTGCAAAAAAAAACAAAAACAAAAAAACAGCCTACACGTAAGAGCTAAAACCATAAAATTCTTGGAAGAAAACATAGGGGTACATCTTCATGGCAATGGATTATGAGATATGACACCAAAAGCACAGCAACCAAAGAAACAAATATAAAACTTTTCTGTATCAAAGGACAATGTAAGAGAGTGGAAAGACAACCTGGGAAATAGGAGAAGCATATATCTGATTAGCCTCCAGAACACATAAAGAACTCTTAAAACTCAACCAAGGGACTTTCCTGGTGGTCCAGTGGCTAAGACTCCAAGCTCCCACTGCAGGGGGCCAGGGTTCAATCCCTGGTCAGGGAACTAGATCCCACATGCCACAACTAGGAGCCCGCATGCCGCAACTAAGAGCCCGCATGCTGCAGCTAAGACCCCGCACAGCTAAAAACAAACAAACAAACAAAAAAACTCAACCAAAAAAATAGAATCCACTTGAAAAAACGGTACAGGACTTGAACAGATATTTCTCTAAAGAAGATATACAAATGGCTAATAAACTCAAGAAAAGATGCTCATTGTCATTAGTCATAAGGGAAATACAAATCAAAATGACAGTATGATACCACTTAGATATCACTTCACACCTATGAGGATGACTTTGATTTTTAAAAAACAGAAACTAACAAGTGTTGGCAAGGATGTGGATAAACAGGAACTCTTATACATTGCTGGTGGGAATGTAAAATGGTGCAGGTGGAAAACAGAAAACCGTGTGGCAGTTCCTTAAATAGTTAAACATAGAATTATCATGATCCAGCAATTCCACTCCTTGGTATATGACCTAGAGAAATGAAAACTATGTCCATAGAGAGACCTTATAGGAATGTTCATAGCGGCATTACTCACAATCTCTAAGAGGTAAAAATGACCCAAATGTCCATTGACAGATCAATGGACAACCAAATGTGGGATATTATTCAGTCATAAAAGGGAATGAAATTATAAAGACAACAACATAGATGGACCTTGAAAACACTGCGCTGTGTGAAAGCAGCCAGACACAAAGGCCACATACCATGTGATGCTTTTTATGTGATGTACCCGGAACAGGCAAATTCACAGAGACACAATGCAGGTTAGCAGTTCCCAGAGGATGGGGGAGGAAGAAATGGGGAATGATGACTTACTGAGTACAGGGTGGTATTTTTATGGGGTTTTAATGGGGTGATGAAAAAGTTTTGAAACTAGAGAGAGCTGGTGTTTGTACAATATTATGAATAAACTAAATGCCACTGAGTTGTACATTTTACATATCCGTTGCATGTTATGTGAATATCACCTCAATTGAAAAAAAAAAAAAAGTCAACTAATAGATATTCCCTGCGGGAAAACTGAGAAATTCTAGAAAAGTGTAAAGGAGAAATTGAATGTAACCTTACCTGATCCCGCTTGGGGCGTGTACCTCTCCCGCGGCATGTGTGTATTTCTAAGAGCAAACACGTGACCTACTTTGATTTGACTTTGCACACTGCTTTCCACCTCAGAGTCTGTCGGAAACCTTACCTGCAGTCATCGCCTTCAGAAACATGACTGGCTAGGTAAAACGAGGATGACTGCAGCGTCCTTCATCCTTCAGGCTGTTCTCAGTGGCCGAGGGTAGGAGAACTGTCACATCTGAACCCCCAGGGCCCAGGAGAAGAGGTGAAGGGGCAGACTTGTAGCTGCGTCCTGTACTCCAACATCAGGGCTGAGCAGCTGGAGGGGTGCGTGGCGGGGTGGGGGCAGTCCGCATAGCCCTCAGGTCCAAATATCAAGTCCACTCACCCCGCTGAGACCTACCTGGAAAGGGCCCTGCCTGGAGACTTCTGGGCTAGGGGTGGGGAGGGAGGAGTAGCAGCCCCCTCCCCAGGGGATCAGTGCTCGTAGCCCTGACAGCAATTCTGGTCTGGCTCGACACTTGTCCCCCAGCCTTTCCTTCCAGGGTCAAGGGTTGGTGTCCTCTGGGGCCTCTAAATTCTTTAATCTTCCTTCAAAAAGTGGAGCCCAATTCCCCACCTTTTGAGTGTGGGCCGGACAGAGTGACTTTAACAGTGGAAGCTGCAGGAGGGATGATGCTGGATTTCCAGGACTGGGTCCGCAAAGCTCCCTGGCTGTCTTGGACCACTCACTCAGGGGAGGCCAGCTGCCATGGTGTAAGACACTCCGCAGCCCTCCCAAGAGGCCTATCTGCAGAGGACCTGAGATCCCCTGCCAACAGCCACATCCTGGAAGCGGGTCCTCCTGAAACCTTGACCACCCAGCCCAGGTGCCCCCAGATTCCTGACCCGGAGACACAGGGCGAGTAATAAATGCTTACTCTTTTAAGTGGCTAAGTTTGGGGGGTGATTTCTTGTGTAGCAATAGAGAACGAATACCTCTCTCGCCTATGGGGGGTGAGAGGGGGCCCCAACACCAGGCACCTTGTCTTCTCCTGGTGGGGCCTCCCCTGGAGCCGAGGCTCCACATCTGTAGATGTGGGCAGGGGGAGGCAGGACATTTGGACACCAGTGTTTTGACAGGATCCTGCAGAAGGGATGTCATGGCTAAGTACCGGGCACTTTCAGATAGCCCAGGCCTGCCTCCACCTGCCCGGGATCCTCCCGCACTCACCTGGCCCCTGAGCTCTGGCCCCCAGTCTCACCTGGGGAGGAGCCACGATCCAGGTAACAAAGCCACAGCACAGGCTCACTGGCCTCCCCAGGGAAGAGGGCATAGCACATGCAAAGGCACAGAGGCCTGGAGGAGAGCTGGCGGGAGTCCCAGGAGCCTCTCAGCCTGGTGGGGTCGGGGTGGGCGCTGCTCCGCTGCACCCCCAGTCTCCACAGCCGTGTCATCCACACCTGGCCAGGCCAGTGGCCTCCTGCCCACTCCCCATGCCCTGCCTCTGCCTGTGCACTCCCACATCTAAGCTCAGGTCTGCACTTGAGTCCTGCCTCCTCCAGGCCAGGCCCATTTCATCTATGGGTGGGGGAGAGGAGAGCTCCCGAGGGCGTCACAGGGTGCCAGAGGGTGTGGCAGCAGCCTCAGGACAGAGGCTACCTGTCCTCAGAGCCTGTGGCCCTAAGAAGTTCCCCCTTTCGCCCCTTGCAGGTGCCCCACCCTCGATGCCCTCACTGGCCGTCCAAGCAGAGCTCAGTTGAGGACGGGGGTGGGTGTGAGGGGTGCAGGGTGCTGGGTGACTTTGGGAAGGTGGAGGGCGATGCCGAGCTGGGGCAGGCCTCAATCTGAAGCCCGGTGGACGGATGTTGGCGTGGGCGGGGCAAGGGGGCTTGTCCACATGGGAGCGCCCCCCACCCCCGACCAGTCTGGCTGGACGATGGGGCAGGAGCGACACCCCTAACAGGTGAGCTGGGTGAGCTTTCAAACCCTCCCAAGAGTGGTCAGGAGGGCTTCACTGCCACTTCACAGATACGACACTGAGGCCAGAGTGCGTCAGGGTTGACCTGGGCTGCCGGCACGACTTCCTCTCTGCTGGGCCCCTTCACCCCACCTCGACAAGAGTCTTGGGCACGCCTGCCCAGCAGCCCCACTGACCTTGGGTGCTGAATGTTTCGGCAGCAGCACCGACCCTGTCTCAGTCCTGTCTCTTAGTGGCATGGGTGAGGTCACTGCGGCCACTGAGGAGAGGGGCCATTGGCCCAAGTCTGCTGCCCCCACCTGGACCCAGCCTCCCATGCTGGGTTGCTCTTCCTCACCTCCCAGGTGAGACCCTCCCTTCAGGACTGCTGCAGGGTCAGGAGGAGTGGGCAGCTGGGGCGGCCCCCCCTTGTGACTGACCTTGGCCCAAGGGGCAGCAGCCAGCCGGGTTCCGCCGGAGAAAGCCAACGGCTATCAGAGGGATCACCCACCAGGGCCCAAGCCAGAGCCCACCCACTCCCAATCCCAGCCACACCTCAAACGCCTGCCACAGACACCCCAATAAACGCACAGAACCCCACCCGGAACTCCCACCCCCCACAGACACCCCCAAGCCCCACCCATACCCTCACCCCCGTGCCCAACACCAGCCTTGGGTGGGGAGGGCAGGTGAATTAGGCTGGGCTGGGCAGGGGTCTGGCCTCTGCCGCCTGTTTTTACCTCCGCCCATAGCCTGGGCCAGCCAAGTAGTCAATATGTTTATTTTTCAGGGCGCCTGAACTGACTTCGAGGAAAAGCCGAGGGGCAAGCAGGGAGGAAGGGGCGTGGCCTACCTTGGGGAGGGGCCTGTGTACCGCTGGCCTCAGTCTTCCGGAAAGGCGGCCTCTCCACCCTGAATCATGGGAGGTGTGGCCCAGCTGTGGTGTGAGTGAGGACCGGCTGCGACAGTCCTGCCTGCCTCCAGGTCCCTAAGGACGGTGGGGTCAGGAGCCGGACCCCAGGGCAGGGGGGCCCAGGCTCAGCCAGAATGTCCGTCCCATGACTCGGCTTTCTTCAACCGACCCAGCCTGTGCTGGCCCCGAACCCGTCCACGGGGTGCTGGCAGCCGATGCTGGGTGGCACAGGCAGTCCAGGGGCAGGATGAATGGCCCGGCTGGGGCCTGGAGCCCAGTGGGGGTGCCCAGGGCTCAAGGATGGGGCCTCTGCATGGCCCCATCAGACCCTGGAAGGTTCCCTGATGCCCGAGATCTGGCCCTGCATAGGAGCAGGAGGCCTGTCCCACCATCCTTCCCGGGGGGCTGCCCCTGAGACCCTCTGAAGTCTCTCCAGGTTTCCAAGATCATTTTCAGAGACAGTGGCACGGCGGAGCCTGGCTCCCATCCACCATCTGGGTGGAAAATGGAGATCAGACTCTGAGAGGGTGATGGGCCCAGTAGACATTCCTGCTCTGTATCCATCTTCTCTCCTTGGGAAGGGTGAGGCACAGTCCCCACCCAGGAGCTGCAGCAGCCGGGGAGAGGGTGCAGGCAGGCCTGGAGGCCCCTCAGAGCACGTTCTAGGTCCTGATGGGACCTGCAGCTGTGATTTGGAACAACTGGAAGAATGAGAATCCAGGAGATGGAGCAGGTGGGGGCACTGGCAGGGGCGTGGTGGACCGTGGGGAAGGGCAGGGCCAGAAGCAGGTTGGGTCATGAGGGAGAGCATCCCCCCCACCTCGCCAGGGGTGGCTGCACCTCCCCGGGTCACCCACCCCCTCCCTTTCAGAAAAGGGGAGCTTCAGTTGGGGGGCTAGCCCAGGGCCACTGTGGGGGACCAGCCATCGGAGTCAGACTTGGGGTGGGTGTCCCTGGCCTTCTCTGCCCCTCCCCTGCACCACAGAATTGCACCCACTCCTTCCCTGCTGTGCTCAGGGCTCCTGGCCCTGGAAAGTGGACTGAAGCACCCAGGGGGAGCTTGGGGTCTGGAAGGCCGAGGGTCTCAGGTTGTGGAGGTTCCTGGTCCTCCCCTGCAGGGCCCTGGTCCACGGGAGGCCCTGGGGGGAGGCTGCTCTGCCGTTCAGCTGACTGTCAGCAGGTGGTTTCCCACGCCGGGCCACACACAGAGGCCATCACTCTGCCACCCCACTTTGGTCTTCCTCCACTTCCCCAGTCAAAGCACACTCCCTGGAGCCCTGCTGGGGTGGGGGCGGGGCTGGCAAGCCGGTGCCTGATCAGCCTGCCCGCGGTGTCCCTGGGAGGGGGGAGCCCACATTTCAGCTCTGGGTGAGCAGCCAGACTGGCCCTGGGGCCCACACCCATGGAAGACCATGCCTGAGGGGCCCTGGGTCTGGGGAACTGTCCTCTCCCTCCTCGGGGCTCCTGCAGGACCACAGTATCTCTGGATAAACACCCCCAGCCCTCCCAGATGGAGGCTTGGTGTCCCTTTCCTTCTTGGGGAGCAAGGGTGGAACCCAGGCACTCCCTCAGATCACTGGGTGGGGGCCCTCCCCGGTTGCAGAGCTCAGAGAAGACCCAGCGCTAGTCTGAGGGAGGCTGGGAGCAGGCCGGAAGACCCCAGCCACCCCACATCTGTCTCCCTTTTTGGGCGCTCTGAGGTCTTCCATTTGGGGGTGGGTGAGGGCAGGAGCGGGGTGGGGGCGGGCTCGAGGGCTGCACAGCTCCTACCTAACAGGAATCTTTGGTCCCTGGGGTGAGGGGCACTAGCTCCCAAGCCTCATGAAGATGGGTAGGGCATCCAGGTGGTGGCAGGAGGGGCCCACGCAGGGCAGGGTGTGAGTCTAAATGATCTGAGGCAGAGGAGGGAGGTGCCCCATCCCAGAGGTTGGAACTACGAGCACGGGTGAGGGATTCCCTTCTGCAGCTCTGCCCTGCACCCCCTCAGATGCCCTCCCATGCTGGTGTACCTCCCACCTCCAGCCGTGAGGAAGCCAGTGAGTGTTGTTGGTGCAGGCAGTTGGGGGTACCATCTGATACCCTGTGGGGACCCCCTTCCTTCCCAAGGGCCCCTATAGACACCCAGGGTCCAGGCCAACTCAGCAGGGCTTCACCTGGGAGGCCCAGGCCAAGTTGCTGCTGGAGGCTTGGGCTGTGCTTCCTGCTTTCTTGTGTGTGTATGCCTATGTGGCAACTTCTTTAGCATTTGGGGGTGAGGGTGGTCGGGTCCCGGGCCGGGGTGGCAGCTAGACCAGCTCAGCCTCTATGAGTGCTAGGGCTCTTCTGACAGGGGGTGGGGGTGGGGCAGTCTCCCAGCATCTGAAAAAAAAAGCAGAAGGCCTCAGTGGACTTGGTGTCTCAGAAGGGGTGGTCGGATGGTGAACTCTGGGCCAGGAGGCCAACACCACCACCATTCTGCCCACTCCTCTGTACTGTGCCAAGGCGGGTGGGCCACCCCATAGGCCTCTGGAGGGGGGTAATCTTCCAGGGATGCTCACTCTGTCACCCTGTCCAGGATGAGCTGGAATCTTTGCCATAAATCCCAGAGACACCAATGCCTGGCCTCCTGTAGTCCCAGAAGACTCGGGTGTCATTTTGAAGTAGGTTCAATGGAAAGTGGTCCTGTGGCTCAGGGGCAGCCACCAAGTGGTGTCCTGGGCCCAGGCCACCAATGGCCACACTCCATGGTGCCTCCTCAAACCTTAGTTCTTTCCGTCTTGCAGATGAGAAAACCGGGGGTTTGAAGCTCCTTGCCCAGGATCAGCCAGGATCAACGCTCCCCTTAGATGAGTGTCCGCGGGGTGTGGGGATGTGGAGTATGCCTTGGGGCCCCCGCCATACCCCCAGCACAGCCAGTTCTGGGAGCGCGAGAGGAGGGGCAGCGGCTGTTATCTGGCTCAGCAGCGCACAAAGCCACAGGGGGAAACGGAAGTCAGAGAGGACGGAGGCCTTGCCCAAGATCACCCAGGCAGCGCGGGCTGGGGGTTGGGGGGCCGGGGCGGGTGTCGGCCCCGAGGTTTGGATGGGGGCGCAGATCCCAGGGGGCTTGGCCAGGGAGGCCTGCAAAACCCCAAAGCTGAGCCGAGAGGCGGGAACCCCACGGGGTCCGCGGGCACTTCGCGGCGTGGGGTGCGCCTGGATGCGCGCGCTCACCTGTCAGAGGGCGCGGCTCGGGGCGCGGGGGGCGACGGGGGTCACTGCGGGACCCAGTTGGGCTCCCATCAAGCCCAGGCAGAGGGAAGCGAGCGCGCACAGAGTGGGAGATGGAGGGGCGGGAGGGGGCTGCGCGCCCGGGCTCCCAGCCCAGCGCCAGGGGAGCGGGACTGGTCGGGCGAGAAGGCACAACCCGCGCCGGTGTCCGCGCCGTCGGGGAGCACTGGGGCGCCCCTCCCGCGGGGTCCTTGCAGGGCGGCGCCAGGCGGCGGTGACGTACACTGGGGAAGTGCCGCGCGAGCGGCCTGAGTCGCCCCCGGCACCGCGCCCGGCAGCTAGGCGAGCAGAGACGCGCGGCGGCCGAGCGGCAGCAGGTAGGCACTGCCCGGGTGCTTCCGCGGCTCCGGGACTGGGACCCTCCGAGTCGCCCTGGCGCTGAGTCTGCACCCGGCGTGGGAGCGTCCTTGGGGTCCGCGCTTTTGCCTTTCGCCCTCCTGGTCCGGGGGCGCCCCGGGCACAAATGAGCCCCCCCCGGGCGGCCCCCATTGAGGGCCCCGGGGAGCCAGCCGCACCCCTCCGCGCCCTCGGACCCGAGTCACGCGACCTCGACTTCCCCGACTCATCTGGGCGCCCCTCCGTCGGGCAACCCTCGGGCTGCAGCTCCGGTTCCGGTATAAATAGCTCGGTTCGCGGCGAGCGGCTGGGGCTCGCCGGCTATATTTGGTGGGGCTAACGCCCCCTTGCCGCGGCCCGTGCCCCGTTGCCGGGGGGATTGGGGAGCACGTGCGCTCCAGGCCGGGGCGCCCGGGTGGTGGTGCCCGAGGGCCCGTCCTCTCTCTCACCTCCCTGTTCTTACCGCTGCCCTAAACACTCACCAACCCAAACCTGCCCTCAGGCAAAGGCTTCTGATCCAGTCCCTGGGCAGAGAGAACAGGGACCCCCTCCAGGATCGGACTGGAGTCCCTGAGCTCGCCTCACCCCCCTCCCAGGCCCCTAGCCCTGGGAAAACCAGGTGGGGCCTCAGGGGCCTTGGTTTACTTATCTGAAGAGTGGGTTGACAACTTACCTACATGGATGCTGGCCCAGGCCCGTGGCTGGCAGGCCTGTGAGTGGAAGGGGAAGCAGTTGGGGTCATGGCCGCTGGGGTGGGGTGGGGTGGGGTGCCTGGATTCTGGGTGAGGGACAAAGGGGCAGCCCAGGGCCCAGAGTGCTTCTCTGTCCCAGATGCACTAAGCTGCACACCCAGAGGTGCCTGGGCTGACAGGATCACTCTGTGTGATGACCATGGCCAGGCTGAATGGTCTGAGGGACAGGAGGTGGCAGCTGGACCAACGGCCTTCATGCAGCCGAGGTCAGAGGGGCTTGTCCAAAGCCAAGGGCATCGTGGGTGCTGTGTGGGTTAGTGGGTTCAGGGGTCCACTGCCTCATTCTGAAGGCCCAAAAGTCTTCAGGGGTCAGATGGGCACTGGCAGGGACAGGGACAGATGCACGAGTGTGTCCTGGAGGATGGACTGGGCCCTTTGGGCTCAGCTGTTAAGGAGTTGCTCCCACGGTGGGAGGTCTGCCCCCAAGGGGCTCTGAGGGCATGGGTGGTAGTGCCCAGACAGGTGTGGAGCCTTCCTGCCCAGCAGTCTGTAGTGTAGACAGTGCCTGGGGTGGACTTTGGGAGGCCTGATCCCAAGACAGGCTCTGTAACAACCCCATGTGACCTTGGGCAGGGCCTGATACCCAGGAGGCAACACAGCTCTCACCCACTCCAGCTGTACACCTCAGTTTGGAGGGCAGAAGGAGCGGGAGGTGTTCATGCTCCTCAGGACACTGGCCAGGGACAGTGTGTGGAGCGGGGTCTGTGGGGTCCCACGCACTGGCTGGTGGTGTCCGTGTGACAAGGCTGACTTGCACCAGGGCGGTCCTCCCAGAGACCTGGCAGGTGTGGAGGGGGCCAGTTCAGCCCCCTCGAGGTGAGGAGCCCAGCAGAGCGACCCCAGGGCCCCGGGCTGGCCCTTCTGGGAGGTGACCAGTGGAGATGACAGCCAGGCAGAGCGATCAGTCCATTGGAGACACCTCCGGATCAGGCAGGATCAGGCCTCGGGCGCACTGGGCCCCGACACAGGGGCGGGGCAGGAGCGGACAAGGCATGGGGCTCCTCATGGCTTCGCCTCGGCGGCGAGTGCAGACCTCCCGGCTTCAGTCTCCATCTGTGAAACGGGCTGTGCGGGGAAGTGGGTCCCGGAGACCCGGAGTTCTCAGTCAGTGTTGCTAGCTCCAACTCGCGCCTACCTGGCCCAGCCCCAACGAGGGGACAGTGAAGCGGGCCCCGCTCTGTGGGAGCCGCGGGGTCCCCTTCGGCGCTCGGGGACGCCCAGTGTGGCTCCGGGGCTCGCTGACCCGGGCAGTCCCGCGCCTTGGCTGTGCGCTCTGGCCAATACGGTAGCGGGCGGGAGGGCGCCTACTCCAGGCAATACGGCGGCGGCTCCTCCCTTGGCGCGGTCACGTCCCCCACGTCCCGCGCGCGGCCATGCAGGGGGGCTGGGGCGGGGCCGTGCGGAGCATCCTCTCTCCCAACGCCCCCACCCCAGCCCCCCGCTGCCGGCGAGGTCGGCCTGACCCCCACCTGCCCAGCCAGAAGCTGGAACGGGAAGGAGCGTCCGTTGTCCGTCCTGCACCCTCGGGTCCGGTGGGGGTGGTGGTGGGTGGAGCTTAGGGTCCCTCCACATCCTCCTCCCCAGCCGTTCTCCCCTCCTCAGCCACCTCCCCTCTCCTACTTGTTCCAAAGGCCCTATGGTGGCCCTATGGTGGTGGGAGCTGGGAACCCAGTTTTGGTGGAAGGGGGCCCCTCTTGGCTGGTGGGGCTTGCCGACACAGAGACCACCTTCTGGGCCTTGGCCTTAGGTTACAGGCTTTCGGGTTGGGGGGCTGTAGGGAGTTGAGGAATGGGACAAGGTGGCCACGTGGATGGGCAGGCCAGGCACTCGCAGGCTGGGCAGGGTTGGGTCAAGGCCTGGAGGGGGGCAACTTGGGCCTGCTCAACTACCTCCTGGCCCCTCCTCATTGCCCACTGAGCTCTCTAGAGGAGGGGGCTCTAACAGGGTAAGCACAAAAACATCCCCAGGGCCACTCTCGAATGGCCTTCTCCTGTCATAACAGGGTGATGGTGGTGGAGCGGAGAATGACTCAGAGCTAGGGGCTGGCCTGGGGCGCAGTGTCCAATCTGGTGAATGAGGCCACTGTTTCCACCCCACCGGCCCCTGCAAGAGGACGTGAGCCCACCTGAGAGTTTGCAGGGGCACTGGGCATGCGGTGGAGAGCTGTGTGGTCAGTGGAGGTGGGGTGGAGGGCCCAGGCCACCCACTGCCCGGCTCCCACCTCCCCAGAAAAAGCCCCAGTCACCTCCCTCCAGTCACAGCTCCTAACACAGGTGAGGGTAGGGCTGAGGTGGGCATCTGGGGTCCTTTCCCCCCTCTTGGGAGGGAGACAGGCACTTTGACCAGTGGTGGATGGGTGAGAGTGTCCTGGATCTTCTGGTTACCTGTTTGCACAACAGGGGCAGTGGGGGAAGGAAGAAGGGGAGGTCCTCCCTCCTCCTGAGGTGCAGCACCCTCTTGCCTGTCAGCTACCCCCATGGGCTTCAGGGGCCTTGGGGCTCGAGGAGCCAGGTGCTAGCCACCCTGGCCTGCTTCCCTGTTGCTCAGGCATGTCTCCCAAGCCTCCTGGTGCGGGGAAGAGTCAGGAAGAAACGTAATTGCCCCTTTCCTGCCCTGCCCACCTAGAGCTAGTCTCCAAGGACTAGAAATCCAGTTAGGTAACTGGCCAGCCTAGGAAGTGCACCGACTAAGCACCTGGGACAGGCCACAGGCTCTAGGGCTGGGGGCCCCCCCCGCACTGAACCCCGCTCCCTGGGTTCATGGCCTGCCCTGGGGACTGATAGGCCACAGACCCAGGACCCAAGGTGGGTGAGGGGACTGCCCGTACAGAGGCCTAAGGAGCAGCGGCAAGCTGTGGCTGGATTGGGGTGGCAGAAGGGGTCTGGGAGGTGGTGAGGCCAACAGGATGTGAGTTCAGGGCTGGCTCTGAGGTAGGCGTGTGGGGTCGGGTTGGGAACACATTGGTATGAGGTTTGCACTAGCTCTCCGGGTGGATGTGTGGGGGTGGGGGTGAGGCTGGACACTGTCACCACCAAGATGGCATTCAAAGTGGGTGAGTGTAGGCAGAGAAGGGGGGCACTGGGGAGAGGGGTAATGCAGAAGCTGGAGCCTGACCCCAGCTGGGACCCTCACCCAGATAGCCAGTGGGCCCCTGAGGGAGCAGCTGGTGGGAGCCCTTGATTTGGGAGGGCACAATGGACGGGTCATTCTGAGGGACCTCTGTGTACATTCCTCTTTGGGCCGGGACCTGGGGGGCAGCCCCTGGAACCTCACCTGACCTAGAAACGGGCACATACACCCCACCTGGGAGATCAGCTTTCTGAAGCCCAGAGGGCGGGTTATTTCTGGGCTGCGTACGTGGTTTGCATGCTTCTCTGGGAGACTAAATGTCACTGAAAGGACAGCCAGCCGGCATGTGCTCACAGATGTGCTGGTGCCACCTCCCTCTGCGCTGCACTGAGGGTCTCTGACCGGCCCCCAAGGGGGCTGCTCCTCTCACCCTGGGTTTTCCTTGGAACACCAGCCAGCCTGTACCCAAGCCTGCCTCTTCAACATGACGGGCTGGGCTGATGAGGACATTTTGCTCTTGGAAATCCCAGCCCCTTCTCCACCCACCCCCTAAATACACAGAGCACTGCTGAGCGAAATCCCTTTGCCCCCAACCTAGAGCCTCCCAGTCCTCCATCATCTTCCCTGCTTGCTCACCACCACCTCCACCTCTGTTGGCAAACTGAAATTCACTAGAAACCTCAGTTTGAGGACCATCTGGTGTGGGGAACAGGGCGGGGGTCATTTCAGTGTGGCTGGCACCCTGGGCTGGGGGGTTAGCTGGGAGAAAGTAGTGTCTGAAGAGCTTCTGGGGCATTCAGGGGTTGGTGGGCGAGATGACCATACTGGGCCTTGGTCCAGGCACAAAAGGTGGCCCCCTCCCCACGTGAGCTTCACATGGCAGCCCCTTGGCCCACGTAGGTCCCAGAACACGCTGAACCCTCCTGCCTCTGGGCCTTGGCACCCATCCCTCTGCCTCCTCACCCTCCCAGATGCTAGTTCTCCTGAGGATCCCGGGGGCCTCCAGGGAGGACCCAGCCCTGGCGGGCAGAGAATGGGGCCTCAAAGGTTGGGGTGCCCATGATCCCCATGGTGCACCAGGCATGGCTGATGGAACCACGGAAATCTCAGAGGGAGACCCTCCTTTGTTCTATTTTGGAACCTTGGGTTTATAAGAGTTGGGCTATTCCTAATTGCTCGGCCCAGACACACTCCCCTCCTTGGCCTCTACATGGCCCACTTGATTTACTTTAAAAAGCCCACAACCCCAAACATGCCAGGATTCTGAGGACAACCAGCCCCTCAGTGCTCCCATGACCATGACCACTGTCCTGAGTCCTGGGTCTGGGGTTCCTGTGCTTTCTGCCTTAAATAGTGTCACTGCATCAATAAGTATTGCTTAAGGTAAGTATATCTTAGGAATGTTCCCATTCCTAAGATATACTTATTAGTTTTTTGTTTTTTTTAATATCACTCAGATGCATGTACCTTTTAAACTTAACGCTATCAAGGGGAAGGGACAGCAGCTCGGTACCCCCACCCGGGAAGTTTGGCTGCGGATGACCTTTGTCCATTTGTCCCGTTCCAGGCTCAGGCACCCGGCTGTGTTGTCAAAGGCAGGGCTCTGGAGGAGAACCTAGGGGTGGGCCACACCGAAGCTGTGCTCAGACCGTCCCGTCCCAGGTTCTGTGTAGCCTCAGATGTGGAGGTGGCCACCCAGGGGGCTATGCCAGGTCACGGGTCTGTGCACACATTTGCAGGAGGATGGGGGGCTCCCTTGGCTGGGGTGCCCCCGTGCACCCTTCAGCTGTGTCCCCGGATGGCTGCGCAGCCCTTGGCCTCGGACGCACCCTTCATCCTGCTCACTGAAGCCCAGGAGCCTTCCAAGCACCGGGCAAAGTGCTTGAAAGAGCACTGGGGTCTGAGTGCCGGGAGAGGTGAGGGCTTCTCCTAGGTTTCCCAAAAGTGGCGCCTGTGGCCCTGGCCCAGCTGAGAACCAGCAGAGGCTCTGAAGGTGGACCTATGGCCCAGTCTGGGGTGGGGGGCAGGGCTGCTGTTCTGCTCTGGTGGGCTGTGTCTGCCTTGTCATCACTCTGACAGCCAGCTGGCTCCTGGAGGTCTGGTCATCAAAGGGTGGTGCCCACGGACAGCAGCTACTTCTTAGAATCACCTAGGATGCCCTTAAAAAACAACCCCCCCCCCAACACCCTTTGAATCAAAGCCCAGGACCTCCCTCCACTGCTGAATCAGAACCTTGGATACCCAACTGTCCACTGAATCAGAGACCACCCCTCGCACTGAGTCAGATCTCAGACGCCCCACCACCGCTATATCAGAGCCCAGATCCCCCCAGACTACTGAATCAGAGCCCCCAGAGGGCACAGCACCTGTGGTTGTGGTGCTGGGGGGCAGGCTGGAGGCGGGGGGTGGGGCGGTGGGGAGCAGGGAGTGTGTCTTATTTTCCACATTCCTTTCCCACCACACTGAAGCTGTGCTCAGACTGTCCGGGGATAGAAGCCCTTGTCCTCATTCCAGAGTCCGGTCCCAGGTTCTGTGTAGCCTCAGATGAAAGAGTGGCCACCCGGAGGGCTGTGCCAGGTCAAGAAGGATTCAAGGAAAAGGGGCAAGGGGTGGAGTCAGGACAGATTATGAAACCCAGGAAGGCGGGCTGATAGGAAGGGGGCTGTGGTGCTGCGTGTGCAGCTCATGCAGGAAGTGCTCGGGCATCGTGCAGGTGGAGTGTTTACACCACTAAGTCAGCAGATACTACACATCAGCGCTTCCCCCACCAGGGAGCTGGTTTATAGCTCGCCGCTGGTGGGGAGACACGAGAGCTTCAGTGGGCAGCAAGCGGCTGGATCCAACACGCCCTCCCTTCCCCACGCCTGCAGCAAGGCCTACTCTGTCCTTGAAACAGCTTCTGTCAGGTGAGGTGGGGGCACTAGGCCACCAGGCTGATCTCTGGGATTAGGGGGTTTCTGGAGCAAGGATCAGGGAGGGGTAGGGGATGAAGACGGGAGGGGAGGGGAGGATCTCCAGGTGGAAATCTGCCTGCAGTGTTTCAAGTTACTGGGCCTCAAACGAGCTTAGTTCCTGGGGTTTAAAAGAGGAAAGTTGACCCTGAGCTTCTTCGGGTTTTGGGCCAGCAGTGGGTGCGGCCAGCTCCCTCCTTGGCAGCCTGGGGGCTAGAACGGTTTGCTCTGGTAGGCTGGATGGAAGCGTGTCCCTCCTGCCCTTCCCTCGCCAGAAGGGTTAAACTCCAGCAGCCGACACACCTTCCCTTCCACCTGGGCTGGCCCTGCTGCCCTCAGGCTCCCAAAAGAGCTGCCGCAGGTGGATGATAACGAGATGGGACAAGTCTGGGCCAGCACAGTGACTCCCGCCCTCCCTACCTGCTTTCCCCACCCCGCGCAGCACAGCCTGTGTGAGCCTCTTCTTCAGACTCTCACTTCTTGTGCAGTGCGATCAGAGTGGAAAGGATCGGGGAGCCCTGTCGCCCTGGGGGTGGGAGAGCAAGGCTGGCCACACCTAGATTGAGGTCTCAAGGGACTGCAGCCTAGATCGGGCCCCAGGTCCTCACCAGGGCTGGCTTCACTGCCCGAGGTGCTGGCTGCTAAAACCACACTGCTTCCCAGCACAGGGTCAGGCGGGAGGCCAGAGCATGGCTGACTTCCCCACTGGGATCTGCCCTCCTCAGGAGGTAACTTGAGACATGGCTGAGCCCAAAAAAGCCACTGCCCTTTAAAGCCAGCTGTATGGGAGCAGGCCAGGCCTGAGCGGGGGAGGGAGGAGGAGCTGCAGCTGCTGGTCACCCCAGACCTTCCTGCCCTGCACCCAGCACAGGTGAGGGTCAGAGGCAGGGCTCTCAGGTAACATCGGGCACGTGGCCTGGCCCAGAGCTAAGCTCCTGCTGGGGGCTGAGGCCTGAAGGGAGGGGTGGCCGGCCTGGGTGCCAGCCCTCAGGTGTGTCTCTGTCCCCACACTGCAGGGCTGTAGCTGGGTGACTGCCTGACAACCGAGTCAGCCTGGCTTCCTCTCTTTCTCAGGGACGCGGAACCAGCCCTCCTGGCCATGGGAGGGGCAGTGGTCGAAGAGGGCCCGACGGGCGTCAAGGCCCCAGATGGGGGCTGGGGCTGGGCCATCCTTTGGGGCTGTTTTGTCATCACAGGCTTCTCCTACGCCTTCCCCAAGGCGGTCAGCGTCTTCTTCAAAGAGCTCATACGAGAGTTTGGGATAGGCTACAGTGACACAGCCTGGATCTCCTCCATCCTGTTGGCCATGCTGTACGGGACAGGTGAGGGGCTGTCATGCCAGGTGACTGCCTCTGGGAGTTCAGCAAGTTCAGTTCTGGACAAAAAGGTCTTGGGGTCAGGGGTTGGGTAGCGCGCCCAGCGTCTTCAGCCCCGGTCCCCAGGGGCACCTGGTGGGAAGCCCTCGAGGATGCCGTGGTCTCCAGAGTGCAGACGAGCACAGGCCAAGGCTGTCTGGGACCCTGTCCAAAGGGCTCTGTCTGCACAGCTGTGCTGGATCCCGGAGCTGTTCTTGCTGCCTGCACAGACCAACCAGAAAGGACCCCTCTAACGGGGACCGTTCCTTGTGAGCCATGCTTTGCTTAAAAGATGGGCGAGCGTGACCTGCACGCTGGGCACCTGGTGCCCCTGTGTATCCTGAGCCAGGGGCAAGGAGGCATCAGGGAAGGGCAGGTCTCTCTGGGCATGGAGAGCCTCGGTCCGGCCCCTCAGCTGCTGTCCCCCATCCCCCAGGCCCGCTCTGCAGCGTGTGTGTGAATCGCTTTGGCTGCCGGCCTGTCATGTTCACAGGTGGCCTCTTGGCGTCCCTGGGCATGGTGTCTGCATCCTTCTGTGGAAGCATCATCCAGCTCTACTTCACCACTGGGGTCATTACCGGTGAGTGAGGCCCCGCCAGAAGTGGGGCGGCCGGGTGGCGATGGCTCACGTTGATGGAAGAGAAAGGACCTCCCAGGGGTGGGCAGCTGTGGGGTGTACCCACCCAGAGCCATCCCGTCCCTCGTTCCCCGTCTGTCTCTCCCGGGCACGTGGGTTGGCAACAGGGGCTCTGAACACACGCCGAGTCTCCTCATGTCGACGCCTGTCAGACCCACACATAGAATCGTTCAGGCGGGAGCCCGTGCTGGGGAGAACTGGGGCTGGGCCACCTGCGCTCACCCACCCATTCCCCTCCAGGCTTGGGTTTGGCGCTCAACTTCCAGCCCTCACTCATCATGCTCAACCGCTACTTCAACAAGCGGCGCCCCATGGCCAACGGGTTGGCGGCAGCGGGCAGCCCGGTGTTCCTGTGCGCCCTGTCCCCACTGGGGCAGGTGCTGCAGGACCACTATGGCTGGCGGGGTGGCTTCCTCATCCTGGGTGGCCTGCTGCTCAACTGCTGCGTGTGTGCTGCACTCATGCGGCCCCTGGAGGCGCCCCGGCTGGGTTCAGGTTCAGGGCCTGGGCCCCAGCGGCCACCCCGGCGGCTCCTGGACCTGAGCGTCTTCAGGGACCGCGGCTTTGTCATCTATGCCCTGGCCGCCTCCATCATGGTGCTGGGGCTCTTTGTGCCGCCCGTGTTCGTGGTGAGCTACGCCAAGGACCTGGGTGTGCCCGACACCCAGGCAGCCTTCCTGCTCACCATCCTGGGCTTCATCGACATCTTCGCGAGGCCCACCGCCGGCTTCATCACAGGGCTCAAGAAGGTGCGGCCCTACTCTGTGTACCTCTTCAGCTTCGCCATGTTCTTCAACGGCTTCACCGACCTCACGGGATCTACAGCCAGTGACTACGGTGGCCTGGTGGTCTTCTGCATCTTCTTCGGCATCTCCTACGGCATGGTGGGGGCCCTGCAGTTCGAGGTACTCATGGCCATTGTGGGCACCCAGAAGTTCTCCAGTGCCATTGGCCTCGTGCTGCTGCTGGAGGCCATAGCTGTGCTCATTGGGCCCCCGTCGGGAGGTGAGTGCTGGGGCCAGGGTGGGGAGCGAAGTTCCTCCACTCCCTGAGGCCTGGCCAGGCCTCCGGGCAGTTCCCACACCTGCTCTTCCTGGGGACGGTACTCACCATGGGGGGCTCTTAGCTGGAGGGACCCCCCCTCCCCCACTGCTCCCAGCCTTGTCTAGCCAGGCCACCGTGTACCTCAGCACATGGCCAGCCGGTGTCAGGAGAGAACATGGCCTCTCACACACCCTGGGTCCCCCTCGGTTCACTGTGGGAGGAGGCCACGGGCTTGAGTCGTGGCCCAGGTGATGGCTCCAGGGTGGAGTGCTGGTCCTCCTTTCTGGCTGTCCCCACACGCCGGGGAGGCTCAGAGCTGAAGATCGGGCCGGCTTCTGTTACGTTGGGCTTTTGCTTTATTTTTTGATAACTGAGAAAATAATGGTGTGCGATTAAAATGGTGTGGACGGTGGGAGCAGTGTGGCCAAGTCCCCACCAAGCCTCTGCACCTGGGTTTGGGTCTCTCCAGCCAACCCTGTAGTCCCCCTACCTCCCACTTGGCCTTGGGCCTCTGGCTCTTCCTGCCTGGAGAGGTCTGGGGCGAGGGTGAGGAGGTGCCTGAATCGTCACTGTCTCCGGGTCCCAGGCTCCTTCTGGGGCCCAGGTGGTTCCTATGAGGGCCACCACAGTGACAGGCAGTGGGGCCAGATCCCTCCAGGTGCCTCCACCTGGCAGGGGATGAGGCCCCACTGGAGGCTCTGCTCCAAACCCTTGTCAAAGCCACTCTGCTTTAGCCTCTGAGTCTGTGCGGCCTGGGGGAAGGTGGTGGGGGTGAGGGTGGCTGCCTCAGGGGCCCTGGCCTGTCCCCGGCAGGGCACTGGTGACTGGGGGGATCCGGGGGAAGCTTCAGCCCTGGGCTGACCCTGTCCCCCTGCACTGCAGGCAAGCTCCTGGATGCGACGCACGTGTACCAGTATGTGTTTGTCCTGGCGGGGGCTGAGGTGCTGGCCTCCTCCCTCGTGCTGGTGCTGGGCAACTTCTTATGCATTGGGAAGAGGCCCGAGGCGGCCACGGAGGAGGAGCATCACAAGCCCCCCGAGGACGTGAAGGTGGACTCTCGGGAGGTGGAGCAATTCCTGAAGACAGAGCCTGAGAAGAACGGGGAGGTCGTTCACACCCCAGAAACGAGCGTCTGAGCTGGGGGAGGCCAGCAGGGGTGGCAGGGAACTGGACAGGAACCATCAATGCTCGTATTTATTTCACAAACAGGACTAGCTTGGGCGGGGCCGTTGGCTCCACGCCGGCCGCCCGGGCAGCGGATCATCGCCCGATCAGTGTTTTTCAGGGGAGGTGGCAGGGTGGAAACGTGTCATTCCAAGGTGGATCTGTGGTGAAGCCAAGCCGTGAGGTTATGAGCGGTCTGCACCAGGGACCCCACCTGCTGACCCCAGGGAGCCCGGTGCCCACCGCTGGGCTCAAGGACCCAGAGACCCACGCTTTGGAGACAACACGATTTTAATCAGGGGGCAGGGCCGGGGACAGCTGCGGAGTGGGCACTGCCACGACAGGCCTCCCCGCGTGCCCGTGAGCACCCCATCCTGCCTGGTCTCCCCATGCGCCCCAGCCCACCCCTCTTTGAGCGTCCAGTGGACAAAGGTCCCTCCTTCACCTCTGAAGGTTTGAGATAAACCTGCATGTGGGAGGCACCATCTCAGAAGGAATATCTTCCAGGAGCTGCAGGAGTTTTGCTCTACGTAGGGGCAGTATTCTAACTGTTCACCCCAAATCTCACTTTCTTAACAAATAGCCTGGTTATTTTTACAAAGTGGTTCTGGTCCTTGTCAGCCATGTCGGCCTTCTAAGCACTGCTGGTTCTGGACCCTGCCCTGATGGACCCCAAACGGCTCAGAGTGTTCACACAGCACCCTGGTGGCTGGCAGGGAAGGGGCCACGCTGCAGGGGTGTGTCCACTGAAGCTGAGATATACGTGTGGTTTCTGTTCACTGGTGTGTGTTTAAAGAAAATGATCTGCCTTTTTTTTTTTTTTTTTTGCGGTACGCGGGCCTCTCACTGCCGCGGCCTCCCCCGTCGTGGAGCACAGGCTCCGGACGCGCAGGCTCAGCGGCCATGGCCCACGAGCCCAGCCGCTCTGCAGCATGTGGGATCCTCCCAGACCGGGGCACGAACCCGCGTCCCATGCCCCAGCAGGCGGACTCCCAACCACTGCGCCACCAGGGAAGCCCCTGCCTTTTGTTTATTCGCCCCTCAGTCACCGCATGTGGTCAGCACCCTGGGCTGGTATCTGCTCCCCATCCTCCTTGAACAGCCCCACTCAGCCTCACCCCGGGTACTTCACACCCACCTGCCCTTGTGGCCAGCGGCGGCCTGTGTGGCTGGGAGCCCGGTCAGAGGCCGCTGGGGCCGCCTCAGTAGGTGGTGCGTCGAGGGCGCTGGGGACGGCAGCAGGCACCCTGGCGGGCCGCGTGCAGCCGGAGAGATGCCACGTCCCTGCTTCTCTGCAACGAAAAGCAAGCGAGAGCTCACATCTTGGGTCTGCCCCAGAGATGTCGCCCCGAAGGGGCTGCTGTCTCCCTCCTCCATCTGTCCCTTGAGCTCTATGAGGGAGCCAGGCACCTGCCCACAGTCCCCTGCCCGGTCTGTCATCCTTTCTGTCCTTCCTTCCCCTCTGCCAGGGGCTTGGGCTGTGGGCAGTGCTAGCAGTCACAGGTGTCAAGTGGTAGCCCTGCATCCGCTGACCTCACCCCGTAATAAGGTGGGCCAGGCAGGGCCCCCAGGCCAGTCCCTGGGCAAAGCTGAGCCATAAGCGCCCCACTTGTTAGGTCTTAAAGGGCGAGAGCCCCACCTGTGGTCTCTGCAACCACTTACCTGAGCTGGAGGGAGGCAGGGAAAAGGATGCAAGTGGGCAGCCTGCTTGTGCCCTTCCCCCAGCCACCTCCCAGCCCTCATCACACCGCCCCCTTCTCTCCTGATATGAGCTTGGCCTGGCTGTCGCCAGTCATTCAGTTACCCTGGGTCTCCTGGAACCAGCTGTGGTGGTGACCAGGGCCTCAGTATCCCACGCTAGTATCCCCTCACTCTCACTCAAAGCTGCCTCATGCATCCCCCCTCCCTACTCGAGGACTGGCGACTCTCTACACGCATGCTCTGGGGACACTGTTCAGTGCTTCTGAGATGGTCAACGTGTGGGAGTTGCTCTGCTGGGGGTGGGACCCACAGCTGGTCTGGGGCTGGATCCATGCACCCCAGGGTGGACCTGAGGCCCCATGCCCACACAGCAGCGACACCAGCTGGTTGAAGCATCCAGGGGCTCTGCCAAGATTGGAGACTGATCCGCAGGGGCCCTGGGGGAGAAGGTGACCAGACCATCTTGACTGCCTAGTTTTCTGGTTCCAGACGTTTCCAACTGTGCCCAAGACACAGAGAAAAAAAACTTCCTGTCCTCAAAGTTGTGGCTGCCAAGAGTCCTAAGAGCAATTGACGACAGTTGTCATCAGTGCTCTGGCGTGGATGGGGCTGCCCCTAACCCTCTAGACGTCCTACTAAAGAAGACTCACACCCAGCATCCTGTGAAGACCCAGATGCCCGTGCTGAGCCCACTCTCATGGGCCCTTCAGCACCTCCTTGGAGGACACATACATAATCAGCCTAAATTGGGGGGTGGGGTACACGAGCCAGGCACCCTGGGCTGCTACCCCCACCCTGGCCAGACCTCGGGGCACCTGCCACCCTGTGCGGAGAACACCTTAGGACACGTGTGCAGGCCCCACGCTATGAGAGCCTGGCAGGAGGGCAGACGCCACCGTCAGTGGCTGCCTAAGGGTCCTGCCAATGGCAGTCTGGAAGGCAGCTGCCTAGACCTGCAGGGCCCCCTCATGGTTCCCTAAAGGACACTCCCCTGTAACCCTAAACACCCTTACAGGTAATGACGCCAAGAGGTGTGCTGCTTCCAGAGCTCCCAGCAGATGGAGGCGGGGCGGGGGGCAGGGCAGGCAGCGGGAAGGGCAGGAGAGGTCCCCTCCCCCAACACAGGAGTTTCCAGGAGGGTCTTCAAGCACCACTCTCAGTGGTGATGGGGCCTGGGGGAGGGTGGGAGGTGGAGGCATGGGCCCGGAGCTTGCTCTCCTGAGCATGGAGCCTGCCACGCGCATCAGGGGGTGAAGCTCTCTGTGTCAGGCAGACAGAGGTGGCAAGGGGGCTGGGGAGCAGGACAAGCAGGCTCTGAGCGAAAGATGACAGGGTCCCTGTCCTGCCTGTGGTCCACCTCCCGGCAGGAAAACAAGAGGTGGCTCAGGGCTTGCCTCGTCACCATTTCAGCTGGGTCCAAATGTCAGCAGGCTGGGGTGGGGAACCCGCAAAGAAGAGCTCAGTCCCTTTTGGAACCTCAGGGACCACTGGCATAGCCATGGTGGCTTAGGAGGAGCAAAAGCAAGCTAGCAGCAGGTGGGAGATCCACCTGCCCCACCTGTTCCCCATGCATGTGGGTGGGGCCGCCAAGCTTCCCCTGCAACGCACGCAAGGCCAGCATGCTCAGCCCCAGGACAAGTGGGTGTGGACCAGGAAGTGGCTGATTACCACATATCCGTGGGAGCACATCTGTGGTCCCAGTTCAAGAGGGACGGACCTTCCCACTCTGCCAGCCCTGCAAGTCACCGTGGGCAGGAGAGCCTGCTGGGGACCATGCTTTCTCACTCAGCGCCATCTGGAGCTCCCAGGGGTAGGAACTTCTTAGGCTCCAACAACTCCAGAGGGAGAGGGAAGCGGAGGCCATGAGCCCAACAGATGGATGGATGATGTCCCCTTGCAGCCGCTGCCTTGATTAGAAAGGACAACACCCGGGGCATGGGGCATGCAAGGTGGTGTTCTCACTGGGATGGCGACTGCCAGGTCCAAGCCCCTGCGTCCCAGCAGGGGCCCACTAGCAGCCACTTCGAGCACCCACCACGGGCAGCAGGAACATGGCTACGTGTCAGCTACCGTGCTCTTCACTCCCCAGAAAACCCAAGGTGGGTGGAAGCACTTCCTTCCCATAAAGCTGGTTAAGGCAGGGGACTGGTATGTGCACATGGCCTGCACCGGCAACAACTCAGCCACATCCATGCCACGTCCCACAGGCTCATTCCACCTACTCCTGAGCAGCTTACAAAGTACACCAACAGGCTTCAAAAGGACAGACACGAATGCCCAGTCTCAGAAAATTAGTTTCAAATAGTTAATCTAAACAAATCAAAACTCAAACTGATGAAATAAAGACCACATGGCAGGGGCAGGGAATAAAGGTAGAAGTCGTCATGAATTTATTATTTACACGGTAGTTAAGGACACAAATACAGTGGTCATACAAAAGCGCAGTTCAGAGACTTGGCAACGGATACACAGGTTGATACAGACATTCCAACTATGTTTCCTGCAAGTCAGGATGGGGAGTTAAATAAGGGGGGGACACAACTGTCCACAACCACACTGCTGAGGACTGGGTCAGAGTCCACTTCTCAAATGCCATCTGGCAATTTCAGGTGGAAACCTGGATGCAGAATGTTGGGGCTGCGGCTGCTAACACCTTGCTGGGAAGGGGAAGCCCACCTCTGCAGAAGGCACTGGGCCACAATGAAAGCCCCCAACTCGCTCTGACCCACGCGAGCTCCCTCTGCACTCCCAGAAACACAGCCCGACCTGGCCAAGTGCCCACACCCCAAAACACTTACAGAGTAGCCAGCTCAGGAATCAGAAAGAAGTAAACAGCTGCGTTCTGTGCCATCAGCAGCAGTCAGGGCGTCCTAGGACCAGCATCCCCGTGCTGGGACTTTGGGGGCAGGAAGGGAAAACACAGACGTGGACACCTTTTAGGTGCCTATCTTCCTACGAGTGTCCCAGTTTCCAAACAGAACACACTGCAGGGGGATGATGCGAAGAAAGGTGAAAGTACCTATGAACATATATATTGCACCTCGTTTCCAGAGACGGGGGCTCCTGTCTACCGGCCACCACTACTACCTGGTGCCTCTGCTACTGCAAAGTGAGGGAGAGCGTCTCAGGAAACCACCTGGAGCTGGGCTGCCGCAGAAGGTCTTTCTGGGGAGATTCAGCCCTGCTCTGATTCTTGGCCTCTGTGGGGTCACTATGTCCCAGGGAAAGTCACAAAAGCGGGTGACCCTTCACCCTCCTGGACAATCAGGTCATCAGAGTCACCTGCTTCTTGGCACTTCAGAGTGGATTTCCTTGGGCTCGCTGGCCTTTCTGAGCAACGCTGGCACCCAGGGCAGATACCATGGCCCTTGGTTTTGGGCACATAGATATTAACACAGATTAAGGGCCAATCTGCACTGGTAATATTGACAGCCTACTTAGAAAATCTCCCAGATTCAAAAGCATTGAGGCAACCACCACCAAAATAATCACACACGACTCCACGGAGGGGCCCAAGTCTCTCAGTTTGAAATCCTCTCCCGAGGGATCAGCGACACGACGCGAAGCCACAGCTTCTGCAGTCTTCAGGCTCAGCTTCCTTCTCGCTGCGTCTGGGAAGGTCAGATCGGTGGGCTGCTCTGTGGGGAAGCACCCGCTGCGCCCATGCGTGTAGCCAGCACTTTCTAACTGCTCTGATGATTCAAGAATCCCAGCGGGTCTGCAGTGAGCAGGCATTTCAGTTTACGGTGGGGAAAGGAGCATGACAGCCAAAACCAGGTTAATGAGGTCACGAGACACACGGCACACACGGACACACACGTTACTTACACACGCGTATACACGTGATAGAATTTCTGATGAGAAAATCCCTTTTCCACAGTGACCACACAACAAACCACGAGACGCAGACCATGGAAACCCACGTGCTCTGCTCCCTGCCTCACTCCTTCTACACGAATTCCACATCAGTGCCTGCTTTAGAATTCTTTAAAGTCAGCATCTTCAAGACCGCAAAAACAGACATGAAAGAAACAATAAAGACAGATTTCTTCACACAGATTTAAGCCAATAATTTTTAGCAAAATGATACAAAACTGTCTTAACCAA